TATAAAAAAAATCCAAGAGCTTTTTATTCCTGCACTGTAACAAAGGTCATTTATTCCCTGTGTGCTGTTCAGCCAGTTCAGGAAAATGTTGGCAGTTATTGAGCATGTAGAAGCCAGGTTTTGCTGTCCTAGGCTGCCTTCCAGAACATGGAAATGTACCTTCCTGGGTGGACCTGGAATGGCTGTTGGGTTGTACAGGGTTTATTAGAGGAGCAGTATTTGTGGATGTGATTCCATAAAGGCTTTTGCAGCACAAAGCATCTCCTGCAGTAACATTCTTCTCAGAAGCCATCCCTCCCCAGCTAGAGCTTGGTGTCTATTTTTAGGCAAGAAAAAAATGTCATTTAAAGAGAAAAAACTGAGAATGGAAGAAAAGCTATTCAGCTGTTTCTGAGTTGAATTCTGGGAAAATCATAGAATCACAGAATGGTGAAGGTTGGAAGGGACCTTAAAGATCCTCAGGTCCCAAACCCCCAGCTATGAGCAGAGACACCTCCCAGCAGCCCAGGCTGCTCCAAGCCCCATCCAACCTGCCTTTCAACACTGCCAGGGATGGGGCAGCCACAGCTTCTCTGGGCAACCTGTTCCAGTGCCTTCCTACCCTCATGGGGAAAAATTTCTCTCTGATGTCTGACCTGAATCTCCCCTCTTTCCATTTAAAACCCTCCCCCCTTGTCCTGTCACTGCCCTCTCTGGTGAAAAGCCCCTCCCCAGCTTTCCTGGAGCCCCTTCAGGCACTGGAAGCTGCTCTCAGGTCTCCCTGGAGCCTTCTCTTCTCCAGGCTGAACACCCCAACTCTCCCAGCCTGGCTCCAGAGCAGAGTTGCTCCAGCCCTCCCAGCATCTCCAAGGCCCTTCTCTGGCCCCTCCAACAGCTCCATGTCTCTCCTGTGCTGGGGGCACAAGAGCTGGACACAACACTCCAGGGGGGTCTCAGCAGAGCAGAGGAGCAGAATCCCCTCCCTGGCCCTGCTGGCCACACTTCTTGTGATGCAGCCCAGGACACAACTGCCCCTCTGGGCTCCAGTCCTCACTGGGGTCTCATGTCCAGCTTCTCATCTCCTCCCACCCCCAAGTCCCTCAGGGCTGCTCTCCAGCCACTCTCCCCCCAGTCTGGATTGGTGCCTGGGCTTCTGCTGACCCAGGGGCAGGACCCTGCACTTGGCCTTGTTGAACTTCATGAGGTTGGCACTGGCCCTTCTCCCCAGCCTGTCCAGATCCCTCTGGATGGATCCCTTCCCTCTGGGGTGTCAGCTGCTCCTCACAGCTTGGTGTTGTCAGCAAACCTGCTGAGCAGACACTCAATCCCACTGGCCATGTCTCCAATGAAGGTGTTGAACAGCACTGGTTCCAATACTGACCTCTGAGGAACAAACTTAAATCTTAAGTGCACTTAAATCTTATTTATATAAAAATCCAGTTTATCAATTAACTAGAACATGCATCACTGTATTTAGCAGTTTAATTTTTTTTTCTGTAATTTTTAGGATGAGTTTCAGTGAAAAACTCCCTGTTTTCCTTCAGCAGCTCTTTGGCTTTAAGAAGAAATAAAACTTTTTATATATGAATTAACTATAAACCTTTCTAGGCTTTTATAAATCTCTTTGTAATGGTGAGTGGGAGACTTTCCATACTGATATTGGTGCTAACTTATCACTGATGCTGCCAGACTTGTTGCTTGATGCCTTCAATCCAGCTGCAAGGCCTGAATTTCCTGGGTGTCCAGAGGAGCAGGAACCAACTGAGTTCACAGGGATTTTAGCTCTACACTTCTTTCAGCTGCCTCTAGACTGATGCAGGTCTGGATCTTCTGGAAGGATTAAACCATCTTTTCTCCCTTGATCCATAAAAAATTCAGAGGAGCCTTGAATCCATGTGGGACAAAGGGAGTTCTTTGTCACCGTTTGCTCATCCTGGTTGCTCCATTATCAGCTTTGAATAGGATTCACATAATTAAGTCCAATTAAGCCCAGTTTGAAGCATAGTCAGAGTGCAGCTGAAGAGGTTCATGCATCTACTGCTTGACTCCAGGATAAAAGATACCACGTGCAGTCCCATGCCAACACTTCTCACTTCCCCACTAGTCAAAAGGAAATACTTTTAACATGGTTCTTGCATTTTGGGAATGTTTTTGTCTCGTTCCTGCTCAGCCTTCCCCTTTTTGCTCACTGTGGGATCACAGAGTCACAGAATGTTAGGGGTTGGAAGGGACCTCTGAAGATCATCAAGTCCAACCCCCCCCCTGCTATAGCAGGAACACATCTAGGTGGGTCTTGAGAGTCTCCAGAGAAGGAGACTCCACCACCTCTCTGGGCAGCCTGTCCCAGGGCTCTGTCACCCTCACAGCAAAGAAGTTTCTCCTCATGTTGAGGTGGAACTTCCTGTGTTGTCACTTGGTGCCATTTCCCCTCATCCTGTCACAGGCACCACCGATCAGAGACTGGCCCATTCCTGACACCCACCCTGCAGGTATTTATAGACATTAATCAGGTCCCCTCTAGTCTTCTCCTCTCCAGACTAACCAGCCCCAGGTCTCTCAGCCTTTCCCCATCAGACAGATGTTCCAGTCCCTTTATCATCCTTGTAGCCTCTGTTGGATTCTTTACAGCATCTCCCTGTCCCTCTTGAACTGGGGAGCCCAGAACTGGACACAGTAATCCAGGTGGGGTCTCACTAGGGCAGAGGGGGAGAAGAACCTCCCTGTACCTGCTGGACACACTGTTCTTAATACATCCCAAGACACTATTGGCTCTCTTGGCCACGAGGGCACGTTGCTGTCCCACAGATAACCTGTTGTCCAACAGGACCCCCAGGGTCCTTCTCCATGGGGCTGCTTTCTACAGCTCAACCCCTCATCTCTATCAGTTCATGGTGGTTTTTCTCCCCAGGTGCAGGACTCTGCACTTAATCTTGTTGAACCTCATGAGGTTCCTCTTTGCCCAGCTCTCCAGTCTCTCTCGATCTCACTGGATGGCTGCACAGCCTCCAGGGGGATCAGCCAACCCTCCCAGATTTGTCTCATCAGCAAACTTGCTGAGGACACACTCCACCCCCTCATCCAGGTCATTGATGAAGCTGTTGAATAAGACTGGGCACACAATATTGACCCCTGAGAAACACCACAGGTCTCCAACTGGACTCTGCACCATTGATCACAACCCACTGGGCTCTCTTGTTTACCCAGTTCTCCATCCATCTCACTGCCCTATAGGTTTGTTTCACCCCCTCCTGATTTAAACTTACTTTTCATGAACTTCATCTGGAAGAGCTGGTGTGTGGGGGAGAGTCTCTGAATCATCATCTAAGAGAAAAGGGTAATGTCATTTTGCTGACAAAATGATGCACTCGTGCTTTTTCTTTATTCCAGGCAAAACTGGGGCTGTTGCCACTTAGTGAGAGTCTCTTGGTGTCTCTGAACTTCTGACTTAGGCAGGAGGAGACAGGAGCTCAGGTTTGAGAGTTGAACCTTGTGTATAACTGGGCTTCCCTCCGTGTCTCGAGGCAAGAGGTGTCATCTCAGCTTCCCTTCCCCTGGAACAGGGATAACTCGTGCTGGCTTTCCTCCCAGGGAAGGGAGAGGAACATTAATCAGCTTTTACATCTCCCAGATGTGAGCTGGTTTGATCAATGCTTGCTCCTGACCTGCTTCCCAGCCTTTAGCAGTTGAAAACAAAGCAGTTACCATAATTACACGCTGAAGAATTTTTATTTGAAGTGGATCATCTCGTAGTGTCATTTTCTCCACTGGCTTTCAAGAGATGAAACATTTGCTGTTGGTGCAGATATTTTTTTACCCCCCCTTTCTTACCCTAGCACACTTGGTACTCTCCCATTTGCTGTTTCTCCAGAGGGTATCATTTCTGTGTCCTGAGAACCCTCACTCGTGCTGCTGAGGTGTCTATCAGGAGCAGTTTATTGCTTGTAATCACACACACAGAGTCAGGAGGGAAACTCCTACCCGAGGCGTGTGCTGACGTGCAGCTCCCAGCAGCCTGGGAAGCAGGCAGGGAGGGATCAGCAAACCTGGCCAGGTTCTGGAGTGGTTGGGGAGAAGAAGTCAAAGGTGAGTTTACCAAAACTTTTGGTAAGAAACGTTGGGGAGCAGTGAAACTGCACTGCAGGGAGCTGGGGGGGTGCTGGGGGCCTGGAGGTGTAAAACAGCATTTCTGTAGGAAATAGAGAGTGTTTAGGGGATGAGGAGGGGACTGGAGCATCTGGCTGTGAGGAAAGGCTGGGAGAGCTGGGGTGCTGAGCTGGGAGAAAAGGAGGCTGAGGGGGGGTCTGATCAGGGCTTGTAAATATCTCCAGGGGGTCAGGAGGTGGGGCCAGACTCTGCTCAGGGGTGCCCAGTGACAGGACAGGGGGCAATGGGCACAAACTGGAGCACAGGAGGTTTGACCTGAATGGGAGAAAACAGTTCTTGCCTGGGGGGTGACAGAGCCCTGGGCCAGGCTGCCCAGGGAGGCTGTGGAGTCTCCATCCCTGGAGACATCCCAAACCTGTCTGGACATGTTCCTGTGGGATCTGCTGCAGGTGACCCTGCTCTAGCAGGAGAGTTGGACTGGCTGATCTTCAGAGGTCCCTTCCAACCCTGACAACTCTGTGACTGTGACTATCAAGAGTGATATTCCTGAAACTCCTGTTTTCAGCAATTCTCGAGATAAAAGATGAGTGACTGCCTGTGTTTTTCCTGCAGTCTCCAGCAGGATATTGGAAAGGCCCACAGGCAGGGGCTCACATCTTTTCTGATAACCACACTGCTAATAGCAGCTGGCAGCCCTGCATCCAGACTTCCAAAGATGCTACTCAGATAAAATACTTCCCCCAGGGTGGGTGTTTCACTCCAGCTTGTTTCTAGTCCTCATCCCCCAACTCAGTATTGACACATTTGTAAGTTAAATCTCTGGGAAATCATTTACATTATGCTACTTAGGTGTTTGTTTTGTTTTTTTTAATTAGTACAGATTTTATCACTGGAGTTTTCTTTTGTTTGCCACCTGAATTCTGGACCTTAAATCCTTTTTGCATGCTATTTATTTGGGGTAGGATCCTGCTTTTTTTCCCTCTTCACTGTCAGCAGGGCTTGGTCTTGCACTTCCCATTAACTGTCCTGTGGGTTGGCCTAAAATCCTTGTATTTTCCTGTGGTTGTTGCATATGCTTGTGGCTCCAGTTTTGGGAGTCACATCGAATTTTATGAGATAGACAAAAATGAAGATTTCTCTAAGTCTTTCTTCTGTTGAGAAACATGGAAGGGACACAAGTCTTGGGTTGTATTTTAGCTGGCCAAAAAAAAGAGTCATCTTTGTGATAGATCTTGATGGGAACTTGTTTTTCAGATACTTTAAAAAGGCAGAAATATTGTTCATGAAACTTACAGCAGACTGTTCATCAGATCTGCATCATCTGGCCATCATCTATATTAGTCAGACACTTGGGTTGTAGTTATTGCTTGAGATTATTAATAGATCAGGAATTTAAAGGTTTATCTTAGAACAACTCTAAATGAGAAGTCAAACCAGTCTCTGAAAACTTCTGCTAAAAAAACACAATCAGCCCAAACTGTGGAGTTTTTCCTGGTTTCTTCCTTCTCTCCTCTTGCCTCTTTCTTCCTCATCTCTAGGGGTTCAGGTTTGGTAAAATCATGTTCTTCCCAGTCTGAAAATCATGATGTGCTTTTAGTCTAACACATCATCAACTCTGTTTTCTTTCTCTCTTCACCTTTTAGCTCAGGCTCATCAGCATATCCATGGGGTGTTTTTCTCCCCCCATGCAGCAGGGAAGAAAAATCCTACATATTTTGGGAAGAATGGGGTCTTGTTGCCACATCACCCCCTGTCTTTATGTGCAGTGCTGTAGGATCAGTGCCCGTGGAGGCCTTGAGCTTTGCTGGAGGGAGGTTGCAAGAGTGTGAGAAGATAGGAGAGAATATAACAGGGCAGCTTCACTCTCATGTGTGAGGAATAAACCCAAGTATTTGATGTTGTGGTGCTGAGCCAAAGCTGTGATTCATCAGACCTGTCAATCAAAGGTCAGGCTTGCTGTGCCAGACAAGGATAACTTTGCACAGAGGTTGGGTGGAGGAAAGAGGAAGAACCTGGTGTATATACATACACATGTAGACTCTTCATGGCCCGTGTGTAAGTCTGAAGTTGAAGAAGAGGAGAGAGACAAGAGGAGTGATGAGAGAGAATGGAGCTGGGTGAGGTTACCCTGAGTAGGGACAATCAGATGGGGCTGTTGGAAGTATGTACTGCAGAGCCTCCTCCTCAGGAAAAGGTGGTGGAAAGGAGGAGAAAAGGAGACTTGGTGAGTTTGGGTTGCAAGTCTGCAGAAAAGAGGTTCTGGCAGAAATGGGGAGGTTTTTTTCCTTAGGTAACAGCAAAATAATGCAGCAGGACAGGCAGCATGACAGAGTCATGAACCATGCTGGGAATAATCTTTTGGGTCAGGAAAAAAGAGTCTACAGAGAGAGCCTGGCCAGGAGGAGCTTGTGGATGCTAAAGATTGACCTTAAAAGGGGTCACCAAGTGATGGACTGGTTTTTGGAGGGAGGGAAGGACAGAAAATCCACTTTTCTTATTACCCCCTTTCCATATTAGCAGACTTCCACAAGCTTAAGAATTGCAGGGGGTTTTCTGGGAAGATTAAGGAGTATATGGGGACTGGCAGTTAATGGAAGGGGCACATGACAGAAGGCAGAGAAAAAAGAAAAAGCCTTCTGTGCAGAAAAAGGATGGGAAGTGCATCAGGAGGCAGCTGGGACTGCATTTCTTCTGCAAGCCTTTGGGTTTGGGAAATAGAATCATGGAATGGTTTGGGTTGGAAGGGACCTTCAAGATCATCTAGTTCCAACCCCCCTGCATGGGCAGGGACACCTCCCAGCAGCCCAGGCTGCTCCAAGCCCCATCCAACCTGCCCTTCAACACTGCCAGGGATGGGGCAGCCACAGCTTCCCTGGGCAACCTGGGCCAGGCTCTCCCCACCCTCACAGCACAGAAATTCTTCCTAATGTCAAACCTAAATCTCTCCTCCTCCAGTTTTAATCTATTTCCCCTTGTCCTCTCACTCCCTGCCCTTGTCCCAAGCCCCTCCCCAGCTTTCCTGGAGCCCCTTCAGGTCCTGGAAGGTGCTCTAAGGTCTCCCTGGAGCAAATAAAGCTCCTGTTTGCTCTTCCTCTTGAGCAAGCTATGGGTCAACAGAGGCTGTTTCTGAGTGATGCTGACTTGGAAGGGCTTCTGGAAAATGCAGGAGTGCAGCCCATGTGTATAAAGCAGGATCTTATACATACATATAAAGTGTGTAGGTTTCAACATGGGAATTGCTGTGTCCAACCAGTTTTGATTTAGGTGATGCTGCCTACGTGTCTGCCTGAAGCCCATTTCAAGACTGCAACGGAAGTGTCAGAGCTTGCATGAAACTACTGGTTTGCAGATTTTTGTCTCTCTACTTCAGAAATTCTTCCCCATGAGGGCAGGAAGGCACTGGAACAGGTTGCCCAGGGAAGCTGTGGCTGCCCCCTCCCTGGAGGTGTTCAAGGGCAGGTTGGATGAGGCTTGTGCAGCCTGGTCTGGTGGGAGGTGTCCCTGCTCATACAGGGGGGTTGGAACCTGATGATCTTTAAGGTCCCTTCCAACCCAAACCATTCTATGATTCTATAAAACTGGTAGTGGCAGAGAAGTCTCTGTCAAAGTCTGGACCAAACAGTGTCTTTGCTGTTTTAAAAGAAGAAAATATCCCTGGTGTCTGGGGGGGGTGCAGGAACGTGGAAGTGTTGTAGAAACCAACTGATCTTCACATCACTGCTGCTGAGGGGAGGCAGTGGCTCTGATCTGGAGTGGAGAAATGAAGACACAAAATTAAATGTTGTGGCCAGACTCTTGGAAAATCATCTACTGGCAGCCATGTGTGGGACTGAAAACGTTTTAAATATGCTGTCTCTTTTGTCACTGTTTCCAGCTGAGAGAAGAAAAACTACAAGAAGAAAAGGCTTCTGAGGATCTGATCCACAAGTTCATCCTAGATGACATGGACGTAGGAAAAAGGAAAATGGAAGAACAGCAGAAAAAAGATGAATCTTTAGTGCTTAAAGTAAACCAAGAGTGTGTAAGTAAGCTTGGACTTCTCTTCCCATGTTGTAGACACTGACTGGCAGGTGAAGTGCTGCTAAGACTCAGCCCTGGAAGGAGAACTAGTTTGAAGGCCTTAACTAGCTGAAATCTGTTCCTGCTGGTTAAATTGGGATCTTTCATCCTTTGATACAGGGAGCTTTCCAGAATTATTTGACTGATTTTGTTACAGCCCTTGAAGGCTGTGAGCTAACAAATTGTAAAGGTCCTTGTGAATGAGAACTGTCTTCCAAGGTTTGTTGTGACTACAGATGTTCTAGAGGTTTCTGTCCCTCCTTTTGCCCACTGTACTCATCTCTGATGGTGCAGCTCTTCCAAAACTATCAAACTGTAGAGGTAACCACTCTGCTTTGTGTATCCCTGGTCTTCAGGCATATGTGCATTTCCATGGTCACATCTCCATGGATCTCCTGCAGTGCAGGTGTCCAGTGTTGTGGTCCAACAGGTTCTTCATGCTGGGTTTTGCCCATTTCTCATTTCAGCCATGAGGCTCTGCAGGAAATGCTCTTAAGACTTAAAGACAGACAGGCTGCATGGCCAGCTGGGTTTCTCTTCCCACTCTGCACTGCCCTGGGGAGGCCTCACCTGGAGCACAGGGTCCAGTTCTGGGCTCCCCTGCTCAAGAAGGACAAGGAGCTACTGGGAAGAGCCCAGCACAGGGCACTGGGATGCTGAGGGGACTGGAGCCTGTGAAGAAAGGCTGGGAGAGCTGGGGCTGCTCAGCTGGGAGAAAAGGAGGCTGAGGGGGGATCTGATCAGGGCTTGTAAATATCTCCAGGGGGTCAGGAGGTGGGGCCAGACTCTGCTCAGGGGTGCCCAGGGACAGGACAGGGGGCAATGGGCACAAACTGGAGCACAGGAGGTTTGACCTGAATGGGAGTTCTTGCCTGTGAGGGTGACAGAGCCCTGGGACAGGCTGCCCAGGGAGGCTGTGGAGTCTCCATCCCTGGGGACATTCCAACCCCACCTGGACGTGTCCCTGTGGGATCTGCTCTGGGGGATCCTGCTCTAGGAGGGGTTGGACTGGGTGATCTCCAGAGGTCCCTTCCAAGCCCCACCCCTCTGTGGTTCTGTACCATCCCCTGGTACCTTTTTGTCTGACACGTTTCCTTGATGAATAAATTAACTTTCTTCAGTGAGTGGCATCTGCACATCCCAGCTCTCTGCTTCCTCTGCCATGATAAGAGCTTTTGAGGCAGCCACTTGAGCTCCTGCAGCTCCACTGAAGGCAGCCACGCCTGTACCTGCTGGCAGGTTCCACCCTCAGTTCACATCCTCTAGGTTTAATCAGAACACGGGGGCTTTGGGAATCTTTTTGAATAACCTTTGCCAGAAAGAGCTTTGTTTTCCAAGTGATTCTTTCTGTTGTACATGTCAGCTAACTCTTCCTTGGTTGGCTTCAGTTTCCTGAACGTCTCTCGGATTCCGAGAATGAGGAACCATTCCCGGGCAGGCAAACACATCGCTCAGCTTTTGTTTCCAAGACCAGTGCCTACTCCTTTGCCTTCCTTTCAGGGTAAGATGCTGAGACTTTATTCAAGCTGATCCATGTCCATTACAGTTGTTCTTTTTGGCTGTTGTTCTAAGTGTGCCTGAGGTGCTTTAAATGTTGTTAAAATGGTGGTTCCGATTCAAAATGAAGTCGTGTTTTAAATGGGATTTTAGAACAGACTCATTGGTTGAATATAGTGTCCATCTGTGTGTTGGGTTGCTCATGTTCCATCTACATGTTGGGGGTGTTGAGCCTGGAGAAGAGAAGGCTCCAGGGAGACCTGAGAGCAGCTTCCAGTGCCTGAAGGGGCTCCAGGAAAGCTGGGGAGGGGCTTGGGACAAGGGCAGGGAGGGATGGGAGCAGGGGGAAGGGTTTCCAGCTGGCAGAGGGAGCTGGAGCTGAGATGGGAGGGAGAAATTCTGGGCTGTGAGGGTGGGGAGAGCCTGGCCCAGGTTGCCCAGAGAAGCTGTGGCTGCCCCATCCCTGGGGGTGTTGAAGGGCAGGTTGGATGGGGCTTGGAGCAGCCTGGGCTGCTGGGAGGTGTCCCTGCCCATGGCAGGGGGTTGGAACCTGGTGATCTTGAAGGTTCCTTCCGACCCAAACCAGTCTGTGATTCTATGTTCTGATTGCCTCCTGCCTGTTATAAAATCCTGGAGGTTAATGAAGTTACTGCCCATCCCATGAAGCAGAAAACTCACTGCCTGCACATTTAAGTGGCAGTAGGAAGTTCTGGGTGATACATTCAAGTGTGCTGCATCCTTCTCCAGCACAGATGCTAGGGGAGAGCATCAGCCCCCAAGAGCTTGTCAGTGGATGCCTGTGCAGGGGAAGCAGCTGAGCAACAAAGTGTTTTCACAGGAGAAGCCCAGAGGTTTCCAAAGCACCATCATTAACTCTGACCTCACTGAACTGTAAGCTGTAAGGGGAGGTGTCAGTGTGTTTAGTGCAGAACCCTTGAACTCATCGAGTCAGAGAATCCCAGACTGGTTTGGGTTGTCTGGGAGCCTTTTCTCCTCCAGGCTGTGCAGAATATCCAGGATTCCCACATCCCTCTGTAATTCCTGGATCTCTTCTCCCTGAGGCCATAGGAGGTGTATCCTACAGCCAGGTGCTGCCAAGGCTGTTGCCTCCCCCACAGGGAGCTGCTGCCAGGGCTGTTGTGCTGGTTGTTCCTCAGGTCATGAACAATCTCCTCTTCTCACCCACCTGCTTTCCAGGAACTTAACCTCCAAGGTGGAAAGGAGTCGGAGCTGCAACGACACCATTCAGGAGAGATCAAAGAGCAGGCAGAGATCAGCCCCAGCCAACAAAACAAAGGTACCAGCTGCATCTGTAGAGTCCCTACATGTACATGTTCTTATCTGAGGTGACACAGCACCAGCAATCTGGAGATATAAAACTGTGTTTGTGGCTCTGCTGGGGCTGTGTTATCACCACGGGGCCACTCACTTCCTTACAGCTCACAATAATAAACCTGCTAGGTGAGGAATTACTGAGCAGAAAAGCAGACAGTTTACAGTGTTTGTCAGCACTGGAAGATAATTGGAAGCTGGAAGTGTAGTCATCATGCTTTTGTTCTGTAGTTAACTTTCTTTTCAAGGCTGAATCCCCAGCTGATCTTAATAAAATCTTGCAGGGGTTTAGAAGAAAATCCCTTCTTGCTCCCCCTTTCCCTCCTGCTCTTTCTAAAGCTGTTAGGACAGAGCAAAGCTCTGACTGACCTTAGGATCATTTCCTTAGCACTTCCCTGCTGTGGGAAGGGCTGTCCTGGCCTTGCTTCCCCTCTTATCAGCAGACCAAGTGAATTAACTGTTATCATTTGCCCTGTGCAACAGGCCTGACCTTTCAGTGCCCCACAGTGCCCCAAAAAGCCCCAAAATGAGCAGTTAACATGAACTACCATTGGAAACCTGAGCTGAAGGTTTATCAGGCTCTTCAAGAAGTAATGGCTTGGTATCTTCCACTCAGTGGAGATGACCTTTGCAAGCACCTTTCCCTGCAACATGCCTGGCAGAACCACTGAACCCTCAGGCCCTGCCTGCAGAGGCAGGTTTTGCACACTTGGTCTTGTACTGGGAACAGCTCTGGGGTCCCCAGCACAGGGAGGACACGGAGCTGTTGGAGAGAGGCCAGAGGAGGCCCCGGAGATGCTGGGAGGGCTGGAGCAGCTCTCCAGTGCCTGAAGGGGCTCCAGGAAAGCTGGGGAGGGGCTTGGGACAAGGGCAGGGAGGGATGGGAGCAGGGGGAAGGGTTTCCAGCTGGCAGAGGGAGCTGGAGCTGAGATGGGAGGGAGAAATTCTGTGGTGTGAGGGTGGGGAGAGCCTGGCTCAGGTTGCCCAGGGAAGCTGTGGCTGCCCCATCCCTGGGGGTGTTGAAGGGCAGGTTGGATGGGGCTTGGAGCAGCCTGGGCTGCTGGGAGGTGTCCTTGCCCATGGCAAGGGGGTTGGAACTGGATGATCTTTAAGGTCCCTTCTACCCCAAACCATTCCATGATGACTCCGTGTTGCTTGGAAAATGGTACAATCTCCACTGGCTCTCTAAGTTGACCCCAGTGAACCCCAAGCTGCACACCTCCTAGTTTATGAGCATGAGCCATGGTCCAGCTTGCAGCTAAGCTGATTGGAGCTGCACTGAGCTCAAAGGAAGAGTCAATAACTGACCTTCCCTCCCAGGACTTTGGGGTTTTTTTAAGTAAGTGGCTGATGGGCCTGACCAGGGAAGAGTTACTACAAGAATGCTCCACAAACTTACTCTGACCTCAAAACAAGGTAGTGGAAACAAATCTCTTTCAGCCTAAACAGGGAAAGACTTCACATCGTTCAGATGAGCTGCAGGATAAAATCATTTCATCTTGGAGAAGAACAGCACCATCTGCAGTTGGGTGTGTGCAGCTTTCTTTCTGATTTACTTGGCACTGGGTTCTCTCACGTTTCAAATGTAGCAGCATTAAAGGATGGGTTTGGAGATGGGAAGGGAACAGGAAATGCTGCTCTGAGCTCTTCCAGAGGCTGTCTCAGGCAGTGCCCAGTGTGATGGCCACAGTGTGGTCTGGGACCACTCCTCAGGGCTGTTCCAGCACCCTGCCTCAGGCACATCCACACCTCTTCTCCTGACATTGTTCAGTTCAGTCTGTTGAACCCAGGACAACTATTTATTCTTTCTCTTTCCTCTGGTTTGGTAGGGAGCTAAAAAACCCTTTAGAGATGATTTCCCTGGAAGATGGTGTCTTCCTTCTGCCAGGGTGGTGCAGTGCTCAGTTTCTTCATGTCTTGCTTTGCATCAGGCATTTTGCCATCAGAGTTGTTACCACTTTTGGCAAGAACAGCTCTTACAGCTAAACAAATTTGAGAGCCAGCCTGTGCTGGACTCTGGTTGTCCCCTCCTTATGTTCTTTATTGGCCATGACCAGCAGAGGATTCTCTGCTTTTCCAGAGAGCTCTCCAGCTGGTCTGCTGCAGGAGCTGAGCATGGTAGCCTCATGTTCTCCTCTTCAACAAGGCCAAGTGCAGGGTCCTGTACCTGGGCCAGGGCAACCAGAGGTATGAACACAGATGGGGAAGATGTGCTAGAGAGCAGCCCTGTGGAAAAAGACCTGGGGGTACTAGTGGATGAAAAGCTGGACATGAGCCACCAATGTGCAGTTGCAGCCCAGAAGGCCAAGCACATCCTGGGCTGCATCCAAAGAAGTGTGGCCACCAGATGGAGGGAGATGATTCTGTCCCTGGTGGGACCTCACCTGGAGTACTGCATCCACCCCTGGTGCCCCCAGCACAAGAGTGATTTGGACCTGTTGGAGCAAGTGCAGAGCAGGGCAATGAAAATGATCAGAGGGGCTGGAGCAGCTCTCTTATGAGGACAGGCTGAGGGAGTTGGGGTTGTTCAGCCTGGAGAAGATTCTGGGGAGACCTTATAGGGACCTTCCAATACCTGAAAGGGGCCAATGGGAAGGCTGGGGAGGAGCTGTTCACAAGGGTGTGTAAGGACAGGACAAGGGGTGATGGTTTCCAGCTAGAGATGGGGAGATTTAGGTTGGACATAAGGAAAACGTTCTTTAAGATGAGGGTGGGGGATCACTGGAACAGGTTGCCTAGAGAGGTGGTGGAGGCCCCATCCCTGGAGACATTCAAGGTCAGGCTTGATGGGGCTCTGGGCAGTCTGGTCTAGTGTGAGATGTCCCTGCTTATTGTAGGGGGGTTGGACTAGATGACCTTTGGAGGTCCCTTCCGCCTCAAACCATTCTGTGCTTCTCTGGTTCTCCTCTTCTCCTCTTGCGTGCTTGTCCGTGTTCTCCTCAACGACAACCTTCCTGAGCTGTGGTGCCTTGCCTTGCAGGTGCCACCCATCACCAGCACGTCCACCCCACTGGTGGGAGTCCTGTCATCCACCCAGAACAACCGGTGCCTCTCGGCCCCAGACCTGACGGCAGAGAAGCGTCTGGTTCTCAACCCCGTCTCCTCCCTCTCTGCCCTGCACAAACCAGAGAGGTCCATCAGCCCCGAGAGCAACGACAGCATCTCAGAGGAGCTCAACCACTTCAAGCCCATCGTCTGCTCCCCGTGTACCCCTCCAAAGAGGCTTCCTGATGGCAGAGTCCTCAGCCCTCTCATCATCAAGTCCACCCCGAGGAACCTGAACCGCAGCCTGCAGAAACCCACCACCTACGAGGCCAGTCCCAGGATCCTGAAAAAGTGGGAGCAGATATTTCAGGAGCGCCAAATCAAAAAGACCTTCTCCAAAGCCACCCTCACCTCCTTGGCTTCGGAGCCTGGGGAGGACGTGGCAGCTCCTGACATCACCAACTCCAGCACTTGCACCAAGGAGCAGCCCCAGACGCAGGACGAGCACCTCCCACCCGACGCCACGGGAGACCCTCGCCCCGAGCTGGATTTCCTTCCTTCCATCAGTGAAACGAAGCTGGGAAGAGGGGGTGAGAAGAAGAGGGATTCACAGGCCTCAGCAACAGATGACACTGCTGCTGAGCCAGACCTGAGGTCCAACGTCACCTCCCTCAACACGCGAGTGACCGAAGTCCCTGACCTAAAAGTCAACGCGTTCATGGACAAATCCTGTCTCAGCCTTGGCCCCAAAGTGCTGAGCAGAAGACTGATGGGGGTGGGCTCCTCACTGCCTGACAACAGCACCCTAGGAGTCCCCACCAAGACGTCGGGGAAAAAGCAGCTGAAGTACCTGAACAACAGTGACCTGCTGAAGGTGCAGAACAGCACCTGCAGCTCCGTGGAGAACATCATCGGGGAACAACCCCCCGCGCTGCGACGGGGTCGGAAGAGACGCTGCAAAACCAAACACCTGGAGCACAACGGCTCCGTCAAGAGACTGAGGCACGTGGCAGGGGAGGTGGGCCTGGCCCCCCAGGATCGCTTGGTACGGGAGGTGGAGCAGAAGCTCCAGCAGGAGGAGGAGGACAGGAGGTTGGCCCTGCACCTGCAGCGGATTTTCGACAGCGAGAACAGGACAGTGGAGAGGAGGAAAGTCCGAGTCGATCGGTATCTGCTGCGCTCCAAGAGCACTCTGGGTGCCAAGTAGCACTGGGGGACAATGTTGCCTTTCTAGAGGTTTATCAGATTATCTTAGAGGAAAACTATTTTTTGGTCGTGTTTCCAGCCACAGCAATTGTTGGGTTTTTTTTCCATTTTGGTGGGAAGATGTTTCTAGGTCCAGTTCGGAGAGAAGCCAGAGTCCTTCCAGATTGACACAAGGGAAGAGAGAATGAGAAACAAATCCCCCAGCCTTTCTGGCCCCTGGGTCTGAAGAAGTGTCCATGATCCCTGTGAATACTCTGCAGGCAGCTGGTGACATTCCAGTTCCCCAGTTGGGAGGGTTGTGGGAGCAGATCCTGGGGTGTAGGGTAAGGACCTTGTCCGTTCCTTGTCACTTCAATATGCCAAGACGAATCTGAGCTCAGCTCATGGAGAGGGAATTAGGCTTTTTCTGTCCAAGTCTTCTCCTCTCTGCCTGCCCCATCTTGGGGAGAGAGGCAGATCCAGATTTCTGCTAGGAAATACCAGATAGATCCACCCAGAGCACTTATAAATGAATGTATCTCACAGTCATAGGATCAGGGGATGGTTTGGGTTGGAAGGGACCTTAAAGATCATCTAGTTCCAACCTCCCTGCATGGGCAGGGACACCTCCCAGCAGCCCAGGCTGCTCCAAGCCCCATCCAACCTGCCCTTCAACACTGCCAGGGATGGGGCAGCCACAGCTTCCCTGGGCAACCTGGGCCAGGCTCTCCCCACCCTCACAGCCCAGAATTTCTCCCTCCCATCTCAGCTCCAGCTCCCTCTGCCAGCTGGAAACCCTTCCCCCTGCTCCCATCCCTCCCTGCCCTTGTCCCAAGCCCCTCCCCAGCTTTCCTGGAGCCCCTTCAGGCACTGGAAGGTGCTCTCAGGTCTCCCTGGAGCCTTCTCCTCTCCAGGCTGGACACCCCCAGTCTGCTCAGGCAGAACAGATCATCAGTTACTTACTTTAAGTAGAAACCTAAATGCAGTGAAAAAAAGACATAAAAGAAGGATTTTGCTGGAAAGCCTTCTAGGAACTTGTACATTGAGTGTAGTGAGACAGCAGAGAGCTTGGGTAGGGCAGCTGGGAGCTGAGCTGTGGCCCAGGGAGCAAATGGAGCTTTTCTTCCAGTCCCTGCCTCTTTGGAGGCAAAAATATTTCATGTTCTTCCCACTTACATTGAAGCACAGAAAGGGAAGTGCTGGCTGGGTGACTCCAGGAAGGATGTTCTCCCTGGTGACATGTGCCCTGCAGGTTCTTGCTCAGTTAAAAGACCTCTCAGCACACCTAAGACTTGTCCTTTCATGTCCAAGAGCAGCCCAAGGAAGCATCCCAAGGATCTGACACATCCCTGTCCTCCCCAGGCAGGGAGGCTGGAAGGAGAGCCCAGCCCTCCTGGCCCATGGGCACAGGGGTGTGGGTGCTCAGGGTGATGCAAACCTGCCCTGCCCCTGCTCCAAGCTGCCTGTCTTCAGGTGCCAAGCACTTCAGAAAGCTCAGGTGAGCAGTGCACTAAACAGTTCTGCTTAAAAACATGTAATCATAGAATGGTTTGTGTTGAAAGGGACCTTAGAGATCATCTAGATCCAACCCCCTGCATGGGCAGGGACACCTCCCAGGCTGCTCCAAGCCCCATCCAACCTGCCCTTCAACACTTCAGGGATGGGGCAGCCACAGCTTCTCTGGGCAACCTGTTCCAGTGTCTTACAGCACTAGCTCAGAGCTTGGGCTTGGTGGAACATTATGTTTGTCTACCCAGATGTGACCTCCAGTGGCCACTCTTCATGTTTTAAACTCACTTCCCCATCAGCCTTTAGCAGCACTATCATTCCCTTGATTATTCCCAGGAATCAGGCTCAAAAAACATCAGCTGAACTTTATACTGGGAAGCTGCCTTGGAGAGTATTCACTGGGGACCCTGGGTGTCCACAGGGACCTTCACCCAAGGTGGTGGGAACCATCTTACTGACCCATGTCCCAGATGGCAGGAGGGATTTTCAGGATATAACTAAAGCTGAGTGCTGGGGAGAACTTGCTGTGACCCACAGCATTTAAACTTGATCCAAGAGAAGGGTCGTTGCCCAGTTTCCTTTCTCTAAAAAAAATGGTTGAATTTCTCCATCTTAAATGGTTAAAATAAACCCCCCAAAAAACCCATTTCTCCTTCTCTCCCTGCAAAGCTGCAAGGACCCTGGCCCTTTTTTTTTCCTAATGGAACTGGATTTAAAAAAAACACAACAAAAAAACCCAACCAAACAAAAAAGAAGAAATCTTATATTTTAATGGATGAAATTTATATATTTTAAATACTATATTTCAACAGATTGACACTTTGGTTTTGAGAAATCTTATAGCAATGATTCCATAATATATTTGTGTCTCTTCTCTCCTTAACACACAAACTACTGGATGGTTGAAGTTGTACTTTGGGCCGGGCTTTCCCTGCCCTCTCCCTCCCTGATCCTGATTGAAACAGGCCCTTTTTGACCCAAAATGAAACTTCCTGTCCCCAGCTGTGAATTTAGGAGGAAATTGAAGTAATTAGAGCCTTGACCAGACCCAGAAGAGCAGCCCAAAGACACGTAGAGATGGGCTGGATCTGCAGTGAAAGAAGCTCGGGAGGGAAACCCACAGCTTTTGCTCAGAATTCATGCTGGGTTTTCCCAACATTTGGAATGAAAACGTGCACTTCCCAAGTGCATTCAGATGTAGATTTTTTTTGCACAGGCCCCTTTCCCCACAGTTAATCCCCTTGAGCCCAAATCAGACCCCCCTAACCAAGTTTCCTTCTTCCTCGCAGCGCTCGTGGGGGTTTCACCCACTCCACGAAAAACAGATTTACACACTGAATGTATCTATTCCTTCCCTTCTTAAAATAGTTTTCAGAGCACCAGGCCAGTGTCTTAAATCTCTTTTTTTTAAAAAAAATAATAATAATTACCTAAATCTTCAGGGTTTGTGTGTTAATTTCCTCTTTCCAAAGGCCAGCTCAGCTGGGCGGAAGCGCAGGAGGCGGCGCCTGAGCTGCCCAGCCAAAAAACAAGGCTCATTGAGACCCCTCACCCCCCAGCTGCACAGACCTTGCCTTCACTGGGCAACCAGTTGCCTCCCCAGAATGGAGAGCCCAGCAAGCAATTCTCAGCCCCCTCAGCATGGTCCATCACATCCACATCGAAGGAGACCTTGGGTTCAGTAAAGCCTCAGGGTGGGATCCATCTTTTCTCATGAGGTTTGTTGCACCAACAACAGGTTTAGAATCCAATGAAGCTGCATTTTTGCTTCTCCATCTCTTTGCTCAAGGGACTGGGGAAAATTTGGGTTGTTTTCCAGCCAGCTGGCCCAGACCTTCTTGCCACCTTCTTGAAGTAGCCACAAGGCAACTGCTCTTGGCTGAAACCCACCCAGGGTGGTGTCGGGTTTGAGACTTGAGGCCACGTCAAGCTGAAATGAATGTTTGATTAATTGAACACTCTGTAAGCTTGCACAGAAAGAAAACAATTGTATATAATCACACTTCAAAGAGCAGGAATTCCCATCCTCTGCCCTTTACAGGTCAGGGATGGGGCTACCTTTGCCAGCTGAGAAGTAAAATACCTCCTGCCGAACGGTGGATGCAGCACAAGATCTGCTGAAGATCTGAGATGAACCCAAGGATTTATTTACACTCAGATGAAGGTCATTTCTAACCCTCCTCCTTTCTGCAGCCAACCTTCTCCAGGAGGAAGGCAGCTCCTTGCCAGCTGTGGGTCAGAGCAGGTGCCTGACAACCCTCCCAAAATGAGAAGATGTCTTCTCCTTTGAGGAAAAACCAGGTCCAGGGATTGCACAGCCAGTGGTGCTGGAGGGGCAGGGGTTGGTTTGAGGACAGAAGGACTCGTGTCTGCCAAAGATGCCACCGACTCTGGAAAGTTGCTTTCTGAACTTCTGGAGCTCTCTGCCTGGGAAAAGCCACCCGGAAAAGTCTGTGGTTGGGAGTCAGCGAGATCAGACAAATGAAGGAAAAGTGCCAAAAGGAGGGATGATTGTGGAATGTTGATCTGTGTTGTCAGGATGTCTCTCCAGACGCTCCGGGACACGCGTCGCGCCAACAAGCGCTTTCGTTTCCCCAGTGGAAGCAAAGGGGGAGGTTGAAGCCTTAAAGACTATCCCTGATCTGAAGCCTTTAGCAACGCTCTGAGGACAGACCCCAGGCTGTGCCTGGAGCCTCCAGCAGCCCTGGGCCCTGGGCCATCTCCCAAAGGTTGACAAGGAGCTTGTGCCACGGGCAGTGGGGTGGAAGCAGTTGACAAAAACCTGCCCCTCTTGCCCTGTGGGGGACAGGAGACAACAAGGGACAGGAGACAACAACCAACAACTGTTGGACACAACAGTGATGGAGACCCATGGGACGTCCCCGTGGGTGGCAGCTGGGGGGAACTGGGATGTGACAGCAGGTTGAACTCCAGCCCAGAAGCTGGGATGAAACCCGTGGAGCCAACACCGTGAATCAACAGCTCTAGACTTAGCTCTTCACTATGCAAACAGGAAAACCTCCAGCTGGTGACAAAGGGGGGGGGTGTACGCCTGGTTTCCTTGGTGTTTACTGTCAAACTGTTGAAAACAAACCTAGATGTTGCTACACTTTTCTCCCCCACCTCCCCAATAATGCTTTAAATCGTTGTGCTTTCATGTTCTGAGCTTGCCAGAGCACCAGGGCAGCTCAAAAGACACTAAACAGTCATTTTGGGTCTCAGCTGAACCAAGGTGGCTTCATCTGAATGTTTGAAACAGTGATGGAAGTTCCTGAGGGACTGTTGACTTGCATGTGATAAATGTGTGGGGTAAAACCGACATGCAGGTGCCTGTCATGTTGTGGCTTCTGTTCTTCCAAATCCTCCTTGTGACAAAACCAGCTGGTGATGTCACAGACCAGAAACGTGCCAACCCTGTGCAAGTGACATGTACATTTTAACAGCAACCAGGACTTTGAACTGCAGGACAAAGGCCGAGGTTAAAACAGAATAAAACCAGGTTCTGACAGTGAA